CTCCACAGTGGCTGACATGGTCAGACCCCTGCCCACCCACCCCCCCAGCGCCACCCCCACCCCAGCCTTCCTGCTCTCCAGTGCAGGGTGACACTCACTTGGTCTCCTCCAGCTCCTCGGTCCTCTGGATGGCATCGGTCTCATACTTGGTCCTCCAGGTGGTCACCTCAGTGTTGAGCTTGGACACGAGGCGCTGCAGCTCTGACTTTCCTCCCTGCTCCTCCTCCAGCTGCTCCTTCACCAGGTCTAGGTCATGCTTGGTGTTGGCGAGACTCACCATGGCCGTGCTGCGAGACTGCGGGGACCAGCCGAGCCTGTCAGAGGCCCTACTGGTCCCTATGGCCCGGGGACTTAGATACACACAATGTTGAATCAACATTGCAGCAAGTAAAGGGGGAAAAGGACACCTGACTCTACAACCCAAACCATTAGGGTTTATTTTCCTTGTTTTGTTCCAGTTACTGGCCACAAGGATATGGAATTTTGTGTTTTCATTTCTTTGTACACATGGCATAATACCACAGTCTTGTAGTTAACTTTTTAACTTTTTATTGAATCATATTTTTCATGTTCCTTCTACATCTTTATAAGCTGTAACTTTCTTCAGAAAGACAGCTCCCTCACCCCCACCCCAGCCCCAAACAAACCTTGGATTCCTCATCCAGCTGCCTCTTGTAATCGTCCACCTGCGATGTCAGTGATGTCTTTATCCGCAGGATTTGATTGAGCCGGCTCTGGGATTCTTCGTATTCCCGGCTCAGCTCCCCATTCTCAGCTGAGTGAGAAGGGAATGGAAGAAATACTGGATGGAAAACTGGCTCCCCAGCCAGATCCTAAACTCCCCCAGTGCAGCGTTCCCAAAGTACCCAATAAATATGGTGACTTGGCCAACTGAGCTGGGAAGGGGAGCATGGTGAACCATTACAAGCCACCCAAATTTAAGTAAGCCCAGGAGAGGAGCAATTGTCCAAGCATTGCCAACATCCAGGTGTCTTGCATGGGGTACAGGGCTTCCGATCATGAAGTCCCAGCCCCTGGCATGAGATACAGCAAAGAAGTTTGAAGGAAATAGTGAGGCAGAGAGTGTTTACTTTGAAAAATTAACTGTCACGGTCCCCGAACCTACACTCTAGTCGTCTGTGAACTGATTCTCGGGGCCAGAGGCCAGGAAGACATGCACGAGCCAGAGAGGATGAGCGAGGGTTTCTGGTTCTGCTCTGGAAGTCATTAGTTTTGTGGCAAGTTACCTCATCTCACTGAGCTTCCCTTTTCTTATTTATCAAATGGGGATGTTGATTTTCGAAAGTATTCAGGGTGTGGGAAATAAGGCCAAAGAATGCCAGCAGCTTCTCTGGTGTCACAGTGGAACGTTATCTAACTGGCCTGTCTAGGGAGTATTTACTTCCCTCAGGAAATAGCATGGTTGCTTGCTGTTTACCGCAGGTAAGAGCCCAGCCTCTGCAAAGTTAGATGTTAAGTGAATAGTGATAAGTTGCAAATTATTTTTGCCCTAGAGATGCAAAGGATCTCTTCTGGTAAAACAACAACAACAACAACAACAACAAAACCAAATCCAGAGGTTCAGTATTATTGTGTTGTAAGACATTAACTGGCTTTGCGTCTAACTTAGCAAAGTTATATATAGGCATCCCTTCCCCAACCGACTGTGTAAATCTCTGCCCCTCAAATGCACTTTGAAGGCAGGTTTGCCATTTTCTGGCTCCTTCATTAGTGACACATGTTCACTGTTTGTTAGTATGAAGGTCATGTTTTAAAATGTTTAAAAATTGTGTTTTGTCTGCTGCCCCTCCTGCTGATCTCATAGGGTGGTTGACAGAACTGGGAGGGAAATGCTTTGAATAGTGTTCCCTGTTAGACACTGTAAAGATGATACTTGGAATGCTCAGTGGGTGGAATCAAATCTCCTGTCTCATCACAGGGGATGTGAATTTTCCAAGGCCAAGAAAGCTCTGGGAAGAGGACCCAGCTACTCCTTCAGTTTCCTTGAGGATCTCGGTTGTGTTCCATGCACGGTTCCTCAGGAAGCTGCAGGGAGGGGCCAGCTCACCTTGCAGGCGGGTCCTGATGGCATTGATTTCTGCCTGGTTTCGCTCCAGCTCAGCCACCTTGGCGTTGGCTTCTGCTAAGCTGTCTTCCAGCTTTCGGATGTGGGCCTCAGCATTCATCTGCTCAGGAAGAATGAACCCCATGGGGAAATGGAGAACAGGCCCTCCCTGCTTCCCACCTGGGTTCCCCTAGTGCAGCCTCCCAGACTGCCTGCCTAGTCCTTCTAGAACGTCCCTGTCTCAGAACCATCTTCCCCCCACCCCAGCTCACCATTTCTACCAACATAAACCTGGAGCCTTTGGGTTGGCACACAGACCCTCACTGTCTGGCTCATCTCCCTTTTATGGCCACTCCGGACCCCTGCAGACCTCACCCAATAAGAAAATGCAACAGGTCCGTTTAAGAAAAAATACTAGCCTTAGTGCAGGGTTCTGCAGATAAACTAGGGGCTGTGAAGATGCCTCGTGAGTGTCTAAAGTGTGAAATAGTAGTTGGCTGTGACAGGGACCCCAAAGCATCCTCCCTGCTCACCTTTGGGGCCCCCCTTTCTCTCATGTCACAAGAAGGTTCTTCACATGGCAGATGCTTGGTAAACGCATGTTGAATGGCTTACTTGATTTTCCCTATGGCCATTTATCCCTTTTTCATTGTGGTGATATATGCATTTATCCCACTAGTCTCCCAGCTCCTTGAGGATGTAGTTCTCCTAATGTAACGGTCATCTTAATAGCTCACATTTATCGAACTTTTCTTATATGCCAGGGACGGTTGTAGCCCTCACAACAGTGCTATGGAGTAGGGATTATTAACGTCTCCATTTTACAGATGAGGAAACTGAGGCACAGTTAGGTTATGAGCTTGGGATCTGGGATGGGCTCATCTCGGTTCCCTTCACAACATCCAGAACATGCCTCAGGCTTGCCGGGGGGCTTGGGAAATATTTGCGAAGTGGCCGGACGCTGGGACACTTCCCTGTGGCTCTGCAGGGGTCTTCCCTCACCTTAGACTTCTGCACAGTCTCCATGCTGGCATTGAGGTCGTCGATCTCAGCCTTCATGACCTGCTTGTCCTTCTCCAGCTTGGACTTGACCCTCTGCAGGTTCTCCACGTGCTCGGTCAGCTCAGCCATGGAGTCCGTGTGCTTCTTGCGCAGTGTGGAGGCCGCTGCCTCGCTCTGCAGGGCTGCCTCCTCCAGCTCCCTCCTCAGCTTTAGCAGCTCTGCCTCCCGCTTGCGGTTCTGCTCAATCTGGGAGAGAGGAGAACCATTGCTTAGCGGAACTGAACGGCACTGGCCTCCTGAGGTCTGACACTGCCCACCTGCTCAGCAGTCCCCCGCTATTTCTGCACCCCACTGATGGGATGTCTTGATGGAAATATCCGTCCTGAGCCTCTAGGAGGGTTGCCCACCAGATTCATTTAGATAGCGTTGTGCCTTGAATTGTGCCTCCTAAAAAGATATGCTCAATTCGTAACCCCCATACCTGCGAATGTGACCTTATTTGGATACAGGGTCTTTGCAGATATAAACAAGTTAAAATGCCATAACTGGATTAGGGAGGGCCCTAACCCAATGGCTGGTTGTCCTTCTAAGAGGCGAGATGTTTGGATCCAGGGAGACACACAAGAAGAAGGCCATGTGACCACGGAGGCAGGGATTGGAGGGATGCAGCTATAAGCAAGGAACACCAAAGTTTGCCAGCAACCTACCAGCAGCCAGGAGAGAGCCCTGGGACACACTCCCCCTGAGCCTCCAGAAGGAGCCCACCAGGCAGCCCCTGCTCCGTGGCTCCCCATATCACACAGCCCCATGATCCCGCTTCTTCCCATCCCCCTGGTGCCCTGAATCCTGTTGTTCCCTTAACTTGCCCTGCATCGCTAGACATCGTCCCTTCGTAATGCCTGCTCTCCCGGGACCTTGACCGCAGCTGGACACCAGCTCAGTAGGCCCCTCCACAGCGAGCAGACTGTGGCCAGAATGGTGGGGGGTGGGACGTGGAGTCCAGGGAGCCTTCCAGTGCTAAGGGACACCATCCACATTCCTGCTGTCAGCTCTGACCCAGGGTCCACATTTATAAGAAACCTGACTACACGGAATTAGAAGGAGAGTTTCAAGTGTCTCCTGCCAGTCTCCACGATGCCTTTATTTGAACTGAAGGAAGTTGAATTCCACACCAGAGGCTCAGCTTGGACTCCAGCCCTGGGAGTGTGGGGTCACCCCATGTATTAACCATGTCTTTATTTTCTGTATTCTGATGCTTTGACATCTGGGGCTTTGCTGACCCTGGAAGGATGGCCCCTCCCAGGGTTAGCTAACTCCTAGAGATAGCAAACAACTGGATTTCCAATGCAAAGCAACCAATCTGGAGCCCACACCTCCAACCCCTCCTCTGTGGGGTTCTCACACTCTCAGCCACTCTAACCTGCCCTCAGTACCCCCATGGCCAGGTACCAGACAACTAGGGACAGCCCCTGTGCCCTAGAGCCTGCTGAAATTATCCAAACTAGCCCATCCTAAGCCTGCTCACTCTGCCTCCCTTGTTCCTTCCTCAGAAACCACAGTAAAGGCTCTTGCCTACAATTTCCCCCTGCCCTGGCCTCCTCCTGACCTTGCTGCCTCCCCGTGTAGCCCTGCATGGCATGCCCCTCTTCTTGGGAACTGTCACAGACTCTCTTTAGTGGCAATCTTCTCTTGATCTGCTGGTCTTACTGCAGCTCACATTTTCTATAGACACGAATCATACAACGCCTGCCCTCTGCCTTCAGTCCGGTGCTGCTTCTATCAACACCACTGAGCTAAGAAGACCATACCAGCTCCTCACTTGCCTCTTCTTTATTATTGTTTTCTCCTCATGTCAGCCCCAGAAATTCAGCAAGAAACTAACCGGTCTTTTCCCCACTGCTCATCATCCAGTAATTTTTTTTTCTCCCTGCAGGCAGGCAGGAATTGGAGTTCTTGGGTCCCCTGAGGATGGTACCTGAGCAGACGTGGCTCCCCCAGCCTCTTCCAGCCTGTCACTGAGGTCTTCGAGGTCCCGGGACAGGTCACTGCGTTGTTTCTCCACCTGGGGAAGATCAATGAGCATGACGGGAGCCGTGCAGGAGCCCCCCCTTCTCTGGTAAAGACTACAGTGACCACATGGTGTCTGTGAAGCTAGGGGCCTGCACTTGGGGAGTTCTGCCCACTGCCTGCCACCCCGCACACTCAGTGAAGGATGCCTGTGTCCTTCTGCACTGGGTGGGTTTACTTGCCCTTCCTACCCCCGGCCCGGTTGGGCTGAATCTGGAGTTTAGGTGTGTGAGGATTTCGTCTCCCACCAGCTTTCTGGCCTCATCCTCTGCAGGATCCCCACCCTAAAGCCTCCTTCCATTCTTTTCTTTTCTCTTCACATCTTTGTCACTGTGCAGAGAGGTGCTATTTCTTCTCTTTGCCTAGAAATGCTTCCTGGCGTCAGTCTGTTGAATTCAGTCTCAGAGTCCCCAGGCTAATGTTGCCTCCTCTACCTGCCCCAGGCAGAACTAGCCTCTTCTCCTTGGACTCACATCAGAAATAGTATCTTAGCATCTTACATCATAATTAATATTGCACATGTAGCACTGGGCCTTGTGCACAGCTCGAGAAATCAGCGAGGCCTGTTCAATTGGAAACCTGTCCTCTTGCCTTCCTGAGTGGAGTGTCTGTCTGCTTACAGTTGGATTGTGACTGGTGCTGGGTCTTTAGACTCAAAAAGTGCAGAAGTATTTCATTTACCTTGGCTCTCATTGCCCGCTCAGCTTCCAGTTCTTCCTCCAGCTCCTCAATTCGGGCCTAGCAGACAAACAAGCAAAGGGAGGTGATCTCTTCTGGGTGAAGTTACAAACTTAACCATTTGGCCTTTTAATATGGAAATGATGGCAAGTTGCTGAGCATATGATGGACACCGTCAACAGCAGAAGGAAACTGGGCACAGAGAGTGTGTGCAATAGCCCTGAGGCAGGAGGGAGGCTGGGGAGTGGTGGGGGAAGGCTGGGTGACAAGGTCAGGGAGGGAATAGGGGCAGATTGTGGAGGGCCTTGTAATCATTGTAGGGGCTTTGACTCTAAGCCTGTGTGAGGTGAACATGGATCAGTCTCAAGGACTCTGGGGCAGTCTTGCTCCTCAGGAAACCCAGGTAGCCAAGCACCTGATGGGAGCAAAGGTGCCTGGAAGTGCATTTCAAAAGGGGAGCTCTGTCCTCTCGGTCCTGGACACACCTGGTGTTCCTTTAGTTTTCGCTGGAGTGTGGAATTCAGAGACTGCTCATCCTCATATTTAGAGTTGACAGAATTGATTTCCATATCCCTCCTGCAAGAGAAGGTTTGATCTCCTTAGGGAAAAGCTCTGAGGGGAGATCAGCCAGCTGGCAAGGGAACAGAACCTGGGCTGCTGGAGGAGGCCTTGAACCTGCTGAAACCCACTCATCCCTCAGCATCTGGCTTTCTGGGGTGGCTGCCCAGAAGGTCTCACCCTGCAGAACCCCAGAATCTGCTGCACATGCTTTCCATCTGCTTATTCATTCACTCATGCGCATCTTAATTTGGTACAAGTTTGTTGAGTAGATCTACTATGTGCCAGACGTTGTTTGGGGTTCTGGGGACACATCAGTGAACAAACCAGACAGAAATCACTGCTCTGGCGCAGTTTACATTCTAGGGGCTCCAGAATCACTTGGATGCTTTGCCTTTTTAGGGAAAATTTTCTTCTAAAAACTTTCCACCAAAGGGTGTCTCCTTCTGACATGTGGGTTCCATGTGCCAAGGAGCCATGTGTGAGAACTAAGGTGCCAGAGACCAAGTGGATGAGCAGGATGGTCAAGGTCACGCGCACCTCCTGGCATGCCACAGAGGAAATGTGCTGAGATGCAGAGCCAGCTGCACACCCTCCTAGCAGTCCATGGTGCTGTGAAACTGCCTTAGCAAAATGCACCTCAAAGATGCATTGTCCAAATTCCACTCCCTGAGAGCTTTCCTTGTCTGACTCCTCCTCATCTCCATCCCTCAGCCTCTTACTTAGTTCAGGTTTACACCCAGGCTGTTGCAGTAGCCTTCCCATTGCTTTCCTGCTTCCAGTGTTTCTCCACTCCACCTGTCTCCCATGTTATTTCCAGAGCAATACTGTGAAAATACCCCCTCAACTCCTTGTGATCTTTGAAAGCTCAGCTTATGGGTTTCTACAAAGACTCCTTGCCTTTTGGGGCGGATGCCTTGCTTAATACTTGTCTCCTTTCCAGCGCCCAACAGGCCCTGTGTGAGGCTGGGAGCTCCCTGTCCACGAGCAGCACCTACTCGCCGTCTCCCTGTATCCTCTGTGCTGGGCACGGTGCCTGCAGCCAGCAGGTGCTGGGGACGTGCATTAATGCATGTGAAGCCCCCAGCACAGTGCCCAGCACCTGGCGCCACCCAGGAAGTGCTAGATACTGCTAACGTTGTCATGGGCAGAATGAACACCTGCATGGGCATACTTTTTCACCACCTCCTCGAGGTCTAGTTTGGACCGTTCCATCTCATTGAGATTGTCAATGGTCATCTTCAGGTCACTCTCAGCTTTGCGACGAGCCTTTTCCACCTCTGCCCGGATTTTCTTTTCTTGTTCCCAGTTATCCTCCAGCTGCAGAAAGAAGAAAAACAAGAGAAAGCGGGGGTGGGGGGTGAGTCTGAGGCCGGAATGTGATGAGGAACCGGACTGGGCCTGGTTCCTTCACTGTAGCTTCAAGAGAGGCTCTCACTGTCCCAGGGCATGGGTCAGTCCAGTTCCCCAAATGCATCTGAGGACCCTGTGCCCCAGCATGGGCCTGGCCCTTGAGCTATAGCATTGGCCCCAGCAACAGGGCATTACCTCATGGATCTGGGTGCTGAGCTTGCTGTTGGTCTTGGTCAGGTGGTTCACCTTGTCCTCCTCAGCTTGCAGGTCGTCGAGGGTTTTCTGGAGGGAAAGATATACATATACGTGTGTCCCACGAGCCATGTGGGGACAGCTGAATAGACCTGGTTCTCCGCCATCACTTCTGAGCTCAGTGGACAGCTACTGAACACCTGCCCCTGGTGCCAGGTGAGGTGGGGGCAGACCCAAGCACCTGTTAGCTCAGGTGGGCCCTCACTGGTCAGTGGGGCTCTGGTTCTCCATGGGGTATGTTGGAAATCTGTGGGGGGCTTTTGGTTGTCACCACAATTGGGGGCCCCACTGGAACTTAGTGGGTGTTTCCAGGGATGCTGGGCATCTTGCCTTGCTCTGGACAATCCAGCACCTTGAAGAATCCTGCAGTCCACACACCTGATGCCCCACCCAGGCATTCACATAAGCAAAACAACAGACTCTTCTGAACCAATCACGCAGCACCACTTTCCATATAATGCAGCTATTTTTTTTTTTCATTTAGCATAGACTACATTTTTAAAAGAATGATCTACCATGAAAACTGAGAGATTTGTTATTGTCAAAATCTCCCTGAGAGTTCTTCACCATGTTGTAAACTCGCATCACAGACAGCAGCTGCACTTCGCTATCTGCGTCCCTAACACACCGTCCGTGCCCATCTGCAGCCACCTAGGCAGGCTCGGGTGGACGGCCTACTGCTCACGACATCTTCTAGGGGATCTGTCTGAGCTTTGACACGCTGACAGCACCAGAATTTATTATAAATTACATTCCATTCACTTCCTCCTTAAAAAAGAAGGGGTACACTACTGATTTTTTGAAGTTATGAATGAGTTATAATAATTTTTATTTTAGAACAGTAGAGGCTTCCAAAATACACTCTGTGCCCATTATTTGCAGATTATCTATTTGCCTTTTTACCTACTAGCTAAAATTTATTTGTAATCCCAAACCAATACTTGCAGTGCTTTCACGGTCATTTACAGACATGCGCAGAGCATTGAAAAATTTGAGCCTCCTGGGGTGCACATTTCCAGCTGTGGTCAGATAAGATGGTGCCTTGCCTTCTTGTTTCGCTCATACTGCAAACAAGTGTCTTTTTTCAGAGTCTGTTCAGTGCCATGGTTTCTACAGTTTGGTGCTTTTGTTTTGGTGATTTTGCTTTATAAAATGGCCCCACTCACATTCTGCCATCCTGTCTAGTGTTCCCAAGCACAATAAGGCTGTGATGTGCCTCACAGAGGAAATCTGTGTGTCAGATAAGCTTTGTTCAGGCATGAGATATAGGGCTGTTGACTGTGAGCTCAATGTTCAGGAACCCACAGTATGGACCAAATAGTGTCTTTCAACAGAAACATACATAAAACAAGGCAATGTATCGATTGTAATCAATACATATGATGTATTGAGTGGCCGATGAAAATGTGACCAGAGGCTTGCGGGAACCTAACCCTGTATTTCCCCTTAAAACTGAGGTTCAGGGGGCGCCTGGGTGGCTCAGTTGGTTAAGCGACTGCCTTCGGCTCAGGTCATGATCCTGGAGTCCCTGGATCGAGTCCCGCACCTGCTTCTCCCTCTGACCCTCCCCCCTCTCATGTGCTCTCTCTCGTTCTCTCTGTCTCAAATAAATAAATAATCTTTAAAAAAAAAACCCAAAAAACTGAGGTTCAGTGTTTGCTAATTCGGTGTTTGTGGTGACTTTATAGACCATGACTATCTCGAATAATGAGAATTGACTGTATTTATTGTAAAAGGGGGCTCTGAGTTTGAAGTGGTTGAGAGTCACAGCCTAGGGGGAGGTATTTCTGGAGGCAACAGAGAGAGGTCCTTGGGGGACTTGTTGTGTAATCATGGTGTCAGCAAACATGGCGATGGGGGTCCACTGTCCGGCCCTGGGCCTCAGCTTGCTCTTTGTACCTGTGTCTCTAGACCGAGGAAGTGGTCTGTGCCACGGTCAGCACCGGTGGCTGGTTGGAGCTGGCTCTGCGTTCAGGACCCTGAGCCCATAACACTTGAGTGGGTCTCCCCATGACAAGAGCTCATGCCCTTTGTTGCTGAGCTATATCAGGGTTCACTGTTGTGTCACTCATAGGGCACGTCTGTGCACCTCACTTCATCCTGGTGAGTCTGGGAACCATGCCTTCCCGCGCACCCGGGACTCTCAAACTGTCCTAGTTTGGGTGATAAATTACAGGGTCACCCCACTTACAACAAACCTGGGAGGACAGCAGCAAAACATGACAACACCCACTTCACTGATGAGGAAACTGAGATTTTGGGAGACTCTGTGCCTTCCCTACGGGCCCCAGCTGAGGGGCAGCAAGGCCAAGATTTGAACCCGGGTCCTCAGTCTCCGAGCTCCACCTGCTCTGCCAAGGGCAAACTGGTGATGCCTACCTGGTGTAGCTCCTCCAAGGCCCTCTTCTCCTTCTGGAGCTTGGCGATGGAGTCTTCCCGCAGCGAGAGGTCCCCAGTCAGGGTGCGGACCTTGTGATCCAGGGCCTGGAAATGGGGGTGGGAGAGAGAGACAGGCCCTTAAGTCTGGGAACACCCTTGGGGAGGCACTTGCTCTGAGAGAGGGGCCCTGCAGCTTGGCTATGGTCCAGAGTCACCTGGGAGCCTGAGAAATGCCAAGGCCCAGGGCACACTCCAGCCAACCACATCAGAATCTTAGGGTGAGGGCAGCAGTGAGAGCTACCAGTTCAGGCCTTTGCTATTCAAGCCCAGTCCTCAGATGTCAGCAGTGTCTTAAGAGACTAGACCCTCGGGCCCCACCAGACTTGCCCATCCGACGTGGTAACGCCAGCTACGTGTGCCTACTGAGCACTCAGAATGCAGCTAGCTCAACAGCAGAACCACATTTTAAATTGCATGGAGCTAAGTTAATAGCCCCATGTGGCTGATGGCAAGGGTCTTGGGCAGTCCTACAGTGGGGACTCTAGGTGTGACCCCTGTAGGCTTCCCAGTTCTGGTGAGGAGTGTGGTCAGGCTCCAGGGCCTCCTCACCTGCTTCTCTTTCTCTGTCTTGGCCAGTGTGGTCTCAAGGCCCTCCAGGTCCCGCTTGAGGTCGCTCATCTCCCCCTCCAGCTTGCGCTTGGTGGCACTCAGGGAGGCCGTCGTGCCTTCCTCTTCCTCCAGCCGCTCCCGCATGTCGGAAATCTGGCTCTCCAGCTCCATTTTGGTCTTCATCATCTGGGTCAGGCGCTCCTCAGCATCTATCAGGTTCTCTTGCTCCTGGGGGAAGAGCGAGCTCCCGTCAAAGGGGTCCCAAAGGGGTCCAGGCATGAGCTCCGAGCCCCACGCGATGTGTGCGACAAAACATCGTCTAGCAGTGCCGTCCCCAGACTGCCAGCGGCATCACCTGTAAGCTGGTTAGGATGCCAAGTCTCAGGCCTCACACCTGTTGCATTTAAATCTGCATTTCCATGAGATCCCAGTTAAGGTGTTGTTAGCAGAGGTGGTCCAGGAGAAGGGGAGGACACTCAGGCTGCACCACACTGGTAGTGCAGGCTCTGCCATCCCATCTGCTGAGCCCAGATGTGCCTGTGCCTCCATCTGTCAGTGGGGCCTGGGCCATCTGCCCAAATGGCTCCCAGCGCTGAGTGGGAACTTTTGTGTTCACAAGCCATTTCCCATCTGCAGTTCCTCCTTATAACAACCCTGAGGGGCAAGCCAGGCAGATGTTACCATAAGCTACAGTTTAGGGATGAGGGAACTGATATTCAGAGGAGGGTGGGGTTGTTAAAGGTCAAGTGGACAGGAAGGGGCAGAAGAGGGACAACCTGGGTGTCCACTGGGGTCTCCCCGAGATGGGGTCAGTGGTGTAGGACGACAACTGGCCACAGAGTCGAGCCAGACCAGCTGTGTGACTTATGGTTCACGGCATAACATTATTGAAATTCAGTTTTTTGTCTGCACAATGCAGGAAATCATCATTGTGAGGCATAAAGGGGTAGAGCCCATGAAGGTGCTTCTGTCAGTGGGTGGTTTTTTATCGCTGTGATCGCACTCGTACACGGCTTCTCAGAAGGCTCTCCAGCCCTCCCTCCCTCCCTGGGTCTGACTCTCAGTGACCCTGGGGATCCTGGTAGTTGCCAGGGCCCCCAGCTCCTGCTCCCTCCCTCCACTCCGCTCCAGGGCCCCACATACAGCCTGTAGCTGGATGGTGAGGTCGTTCTTCTCCTGGCTGAGCGTGGCCATCTTCTCCTCCAGCTCCTTCACCCTGTTTATCAGCTCCTGTGTCTTGGACATGGCGTTCCTCAGCTCCTCCTCCTTGGCCTTCATCTCCTCCTCTTGCCGAGCCACGTTCAGGAGTGGCTTGACCTGAGTGGTGAGCAACACCATACTGTGTCAGGGGCATGGGCTTTGCCGGGGGCTCAGTGGTGGGCTGTGGGGGCTCTGCCTCAGATGGGACCTCACACCCCCACTGGGGTGGAAAGCAGCTCTTACAGCCGTGAGGTGGAACCCCTCCACAGATCCCCAAAAGCATCCCTAGCCTCCACAGAGAAGGCCCATCCTTGCTTAGGACCAATCCTCAGGGTGCTCTTTGACCCTACGAGACACCGAGTGAGGTGTTCCTTGGCATCTAGCCACG